GAAAGAAAGAAAGAAAGAAAGAAAGAAAGAAAGAAAGAAAGAAAGAAGAAAAGAAATAGGAAGGAAAGGGGGAAGAGAAAACTCTCTGCTATTATTTTTAATTTGTTCCATTATTTATCATATATTAATATTTTACACTGTCCCTACACCTAGAGTGATTCTACTGCCTTTCTTTTGCCCAGGTATTTTTCAGGGTTTACATGTCTAGTCCAGAGCATAAATACAGGTGTGTTTAACAGAGTTGAAAGGAAGGTCTTCTAGTCCAAGCCCCTGCTCAGGCAGGAAAACTGAGGATGCCAAACTCTGAGTAGAGGTCCTGGGAAAGGTGTCAGAATAACAGAATAACACTTAGAAGGGACTTTAGGGGGAACCCTATATCATTTCAGAGAAATGGCTGTCCACTCTCTTATTAAATTCTCCAGTATTGGCGCACCCAGAACTTCTGGTGGCAAACTGGTTAATTGTTCTCACCATCAGGAAGTTTCTCCTTAGTCTTAGTCATTGTTTCTTGTTTGTCTTCTGGTGCTTTGGAAAATACATTGCCCCCCCTTCTTTCTGGCAGCCCCTTGAAAGCCTGTTGCCTATCACCCTCTTGGGCAAAGCATGTGAGCCATTTCCTCCTTTCAGTGGTCCATGAAAGTACATCTATATTATGTAGATAATAAAGTCAACAAAAGGTGAACAACATTTTTATAGAACTATAGATAAGTTGAGGCTGGGTGTGACAAGAAATGGCTGGGAGGGAAGCGATCCCTTGACATGACATATACACATACTACACACACACACACACACACACACACACACACACACACACACACAAAATCATTGCCTATTTTGAATACATAGTGGAAAGGAAGAAAGAATATTGGATACATATACACAAATGGGTATGAAAAAAAACTGCAAAGAAATAGGATTATAAAAAAACAGCTTCCAATCTTAACAATTGTAGATGAGAGAGAGAAAGAGAAATGAGAAACAGAGAGGGAGAAAGAGATGACAGAGAGAGAGATGAGAAAGAGGGAGAAAGAAAGAAAGACAGAGACTGAGATACCTGTTTAAAAGAAAATAGAAAAATGGCTCTTTGAGTGTTTAAGGTTGCAGACCCCTGGATTAGGCAAACGCCATGGTCGTTAAGTGAACCTTGTGGTCATTAAGCAAACACTGGTTGTTAAAAAGGCCATTTTCCCCAATGGGCATTTTTAACCAGAAACCAGAAGGAATTGTTGGAAACTGGCAAAAAACAGAAAACCTCAGTCACAAGACTGTGTGGGATGTTGTAACTGGTAACAAGTAAGTGTGTGTGTGTGTGTATGGCTGACAAAACACCAAAAACAGGCCAAGTAGCTCTGTGGAGGTCAGTCATAAATTAGAACACTTGCTAAGCAACTGGCCATTAAGTGAGGACCTGGTGATTAAGCGAGGACCATTTACATTTGGTTTGCCAGTCACATAACCACATGGCCACGCCCACCCCAGTCACATGACCACCAAGCCACACCCACAAATTAGGCCATGCCCACAGAACTGGTTAAGAAATTTGAATCCCACCCCTACGTGTAGCTAGCTTTGCGCCTACGATGGGCCTAGAACTTATGGGTCTCCTGGTTTCTAGCCTGGTGCCTTAACCATTATACCAAACAAGCTCTCATCCAATAGAGATCAGTCCCAATAAATTTCTTTATATTTCTGTGCAAAGAAGTGTTTGTGTGCACGTAAGTTGTGAGCTACTACTTTCCCTCTGAAAATAGGGCTGGATTACATAGATGAGTTTCCCATCACAGAAAATGAAACTATAGGATTGTACCTTTGTCATGTTAAGGAATTGCTCACAGGTGAGTGGATCGTCTTCAGAAAGGCTGCAGAGGGGCACAGTACTAATTTCTTGAAGAATAGTATTAATACGAAATTCTATTAAGTCATTTACTCGATCAAGTAGCAGCTCAAGGTTATCTTGAAAAGCAAAGAAGATACATTTCGTTACCAAGACAATCTGTTTAATAGCTAAGCCTCTCTCTGAAAACATTTATGAAGAACATGGCAGCATTTCACACCAACTTTAAGCATCATTTTTCCAGCATAGCAGAATTCATCCTCAAAATTGTCAAGGGGGCAAAAGAAAACATTCCAATGGGATCAGTCTCTAAGATGTTCAAAACAGAGTGCTGCTTTTAGCGTAACATACTCTTAAGGAATGAGTTTGTGCAGGCACTGACACAGAGTCTTATTTGTTTGAACATTGACCAACAATCTGTAGACGAATAGAGGAAAGCATTAGATGAAGACTTCATATTTATTGATTTATTGGGTCATATTTTTTTGGCCTTTCCTCCAAGAGCTCAAGGCTGTTTACATAAGGATCATCTTTCAGTTTATCTCTTTCTGCCTTTTGAATAAAAGCAGACTGCAAAAGCAAGTTTGCTACCTTAAGCTAACCCTTTTTTTTTTTAACAAACCACAATGGTTCTCACTACAGGCTAAAGACAAATTCAAAGAAGCATAATCACAGTTGCCTTTTGCTGCAATAGAATGAGCACTTGAATGTGCACTAAAGATAAAAGGGCCAGGCATCTAGAAAAGATCCTTTTTCCACCCATGTAAATCAAAACCTTTATATTTTGCTTCAACATACTATGTGAATTCTCTAACAAAAAGTGTCAATAACTATCAGAATAACAGAGTAACAGAATAACAGAAGGGACCCTGGAGGTTTTCTACTCCAACCCCCTGCTCAACCAGGAAACCCTGTAACATTTCAGATAAATACCCTGTTTCTCCAACAATATGGCCTCCCCTAATAGGAAGTCCCAGCATGTTTTATAGGCATGAAATGAAATTAAGCCCCTCCCCCAAATTAAGGCCTATATTAAAACATGCAAAATGGGGAGAATGGTGGGGGGGGGGCTTGCCATTAGGAAGTACTTTTGTTGCACACCCGGATATGGTGCTGCCTGCGTTGACCACGATACGAAGTGCCCCACCAACGCTGAGGTCAACATCCAAGCCGTTGCCGCCCGCCCGAAGATGCAAGGGGGGGAATTAAGTCACCCCCGAAAAGACAGCCTAGCCATTTTTTCGGGGCTCAAAAAAAAATAAGACCCGGCCTTATTATATGAGAAACACGGTAGTTGTCCGATCTCTTCTTAAAAACCTTCAGTGTTACAGCACCTACAACTTCTGGAGGCAAGTTGTTCCATTGATTAATTGTTCTGTCAGGAAATTTCTCCTTAATTCTAAGTTGCTTGTGTCCTTGATTAGTTTCAATCCATAGCTTCTTGTCCTGCCTTCAGGTGCTTTGGAGAATAGATTGGCCCTATCTTCTTTGTGGCAACTTCTTAGATATTGGAACACTGCTATCATATCACCCCTAATCCTCCATTTCATTAAACCAGACAATTTCTCTGTATTGGAAAAAAATGAACCATAGATGATAAATTGACTACTAGCATGCCTACTTCCTGAAAATCCACATGTCTATCTCCACAGTCCAAACTAGGAAGAATTAAAAATAAATAAAGAAAGAATAACTTTGGCAACGTTCACAAATTTCAATGATTACTGCAGGATCTATTTATATACCATGAAGATTAGACAGATATAGGGTTTCTCAACCTTGGCAAGTTTTAAGATGTCTAGACTTCAACTTCCAGAATTTCCCAGCCAGGAATTCTGGGAATTGAAGTCTGGACATCTTAAATTTGCCAAGGTTTGAGAAACACTGAGATAGGCCATATGCAAAGACTTACCAAGTTTACTGAAAATATTATCTAAATAGGTTTCAATATTCAGGGATGTCCAGGTCAGTGTGGTTATTCCTGGTTGGACCGACTCATCCACTTTAGCCACATGAGGAGCCATTAGAGCATGAAGTGGGACTTGGATTTTTGATTTTACTCTCTTATATTCTGCCAGCATCACCTGAAAAAGAACCAACTTCAACGGTAACTGAAAGTATAATTGCAGATTCACTGAACTGGTCATGATGTGTTGCATACGTTTCAAAGATTATTTGCATAACCTGTGACTGAAAATAGAAATACTGAAAATAGGACAATAATCAAGTATTTCAGTTGGAAATGAAGGAATAAAACAGGGCTATTGAGATTGTACTTCAGCACATTGAAATATAAAGTGTGCAGAAGTGCTTTAATGATAACTAGACTGGAACCTGCAAACTTCCTTTTTTTTTTTTTTTTTTGGTTAGTTAATGAAATAAATTTAGCCGTAATTTATTCATCTTTACATCTGAGTCATATCCCTGTTTCAGGGGATACAGAACCTGAACTAAATCAGTTTTTTATGGATATGTTTAGTAGCAAATGTTATACAACTATTAAAAGAAGTCAGAAAAAAAGCTTTTAAAATATATACTGTATATAAAGCCTTTAAAAGTTTATTTCAAGGCATTTATCCGTAACAGAACAATACCTGTAGTTTATTGAAATTTTGTTTGTAGGCATCCTGTTTGTCTTGAATAGCAATGGCCAGTGGTGGGATTTCTAGCCCCATGCGAGCCATGCACTTAGCTTCCCTGATTAAGGTGAGAATCTCAGGATCAAAATTCACAAATATTTCTCCAGTCTCTGGAGCTTTCACCAATAATGATGCCTGAAGTCCCGATTTAATTAGCTGAACCTAGAAATAACAAGTGTTCCACATATTAACCTCGTCAAATAGCAGATTATCACAGACAGATATCAAAAGTTTTGGAGAAGAACTAGTAATCAGGTTCAGCCACACATAAGCGTTTGACTTTTTCTGATTTAAACAGTGATAGATCCCAGCTCTTCTAGCTACAGTATGTAGAACTTTCCTTGACACCAAGGATACCAACTTAACCAAGCTTATACCAATAAAATTGAGGGACATTAATTCAATATCCTAGTTACTGTAGCAGGGCAAACTGTTTATCTCATACATGCACTATTGCTGCTACAATCCCAAGTGTGATTCTAAAAAATATATATTAACATCTAAGTACATTAATAGCAAAATTTTCCACAATGTTCATTATAAAAATATGCAGCATATTGTAGTATGGTACCTGTTGAAGCCATCCTCTGTGGTAGACGATTTCAAACTCAAGAAGGACTTTAGCCACTCTGTTGTAGTTGCGAATTATAGGCTTTGCTTCTTCTGTCTGCAGAACCATGGAATGTTTTTGGAATAGATTCATGGGTTCCTGGATTCGGTGAAACAGCTGTCGTGCCCACAAGATCTTACCGGCCATGGGAGGAAGATTACGAGCCAGAGGAGGATCATTCTTGTGTTTTGAGTACAACTTGGAGACCATCTCAATGTCACGATCATAGTTTTGAAGGATGATCTGATATTTATTAGCAATGCCAAGATTAGGGATTCCAAGCCTATGGAAAAAAAACATCATAATCAAGAAGGTTCAGTACATTGTTTATTTTTCAATTAATTATTCTGAAAAAGATACCAAAGATTAGTTTAACTTTCTGAAGCAATATATTGACTCATTCATCAATCCCATAGTACTGATCACGGAATCACCTAACCATAATACATTGATATGTCAAATAGGAATAGGCAAATCTATATTACTGTGTAACTAATAAAAAAGTAGATTGATTTATTTGCATGATAAAATGAAATATGTATCATTTTGTCCCATAAATTTTAAGTAGAAGTGTGCAAAATATTTCAAACTCAAAATACTTTCAAGCGCTAAAAATCATTTGAGTACAAAGTGTTTCTGAATTTTTCAGGATTCTCTAACTATTTCAAAATATTGTATGTATTGTATTGCATTGCCATGCATTGTATTTTCATTTTTGTAGTGTATATCTCACTGAATTCCAAAAAGGTTTCGAGCAGCTTGCAATCATATAAAAGTACAACAAAAAGAACTTAGAAAAATAACCAAACTCCAAAAGTCAACAAAGATCCATTTCCTAACCATTTATATTACAAGAAAAATGGTCCTAACAGCAGTAGTGTAATCGCCTGTTTTACACTTGAAAGAGTGCTTCTTGGTTCAAATGCCACCAGTAACATTGGAACATCCCTTTCAAACTTTAAAATATAAGTTTTAGATTCCAATGTTTTGAATTCCAAATGTTTTTTAACATTAATTTTATATGTCTGCATTTTGTTTGTGGAAGTGTTCAGATTTTTTTTAAGGAAAGGTGGTGTTATTTTTGTCTGCTGTTATCTGAATAAGCCATATATTTTATTTCAAAGAACCTATGGGAAGCTAAATTTACTAAGATTCGCAAGGTAAAAGATTTTTTAACACACATGCATCACAGTGTGATCTCAGCAATGGATGGACATTTGATATCTTATGCCAGGTATATATGAAAGTTGACTGTTTTTTGGCTGTATGATTTGATTGTTATTAACACTTTGTTTTAGTTTGATTAATTTCCCAAATTATATTAACATATATGTGATGCTGAATTTCTAAACTAGGCAAATTTTCCTCTTACAGACTATTTGGGCAGTATTTTGCTTGATACACAGCAGATGATAATCCTATATAACTAGAAATAAATTACTCTGCTCTCCTCTCCTCTAAGTCCATAATCATGATGTCTTTGTTCTCAAAAAAAAAAAAAAAAAAAGAAGTGGACTATTATGTTGTTATACGGTCCAGATGTAATGATTACGTCAACAAATGGATTGATTCCATGGAAATATTTATTCTTATCATATGGATCTTTTTTCTGAATTCTACTTTTACTCATTATTATATGGAGATTTAATCACTATAGTATGTTTGATTTTTCCACTGTGCCATCATTATTGAATGTAGTCTTTTTCCTTTATGTGTTATTAATTTAACATTTTTTTTAATTGACAGAACCCCCAGATTCACAGATGCTAGATTCATATGTCTCATTTTAAGAAATTGAGATAATTGGATTTTATTCATCCTGCTGCTAGGTTTCAATAATTAAAAAAATCATTTCTATATGTTATAGAGATATCTGCTTTATAGACTAAAAGCAAACTTTTCCAACTGTAATTCAAAATCAAAAGAGGCTATCAAAGTATATTGGTATTATTGGTATTATTTTTCCAGATAACTCCAAGTAAAAAATGATCACGTTTAAACCTTTCAAATTTCTTCAGCGTATCAAGGGCTCTTTCAGTGTTCAAAATCTTTTCAAAGGTAGTATCCATAAACATCTGTAATTGGTGCTATAGAAAGAAACAAAGAGATGGAGAATGTTCATAAGTACAATTACTAAATTTATAAATCACAATAGCCATTTTTACCCAAGATTTACTGAATAAATGATAATTGGCAAAATTCACACAAACTATGAAGTGCTAAACTATGCTGCAGAGAGCAGCATAGAACAAACTTGGTATAAGCCAAAACCAAGCAATTATTATTGTTACATTTATTTTCCATCTCCGGGAATTCAGCTGCTTATACCAAGTTTGTTGTTTGAATACAGTACCCAAGTTTCCATTACATTCTTGTACAACTGTAACCAAGAAAAGGAATAGTCAAACTGACATAGGCAAAGAGAGAATCTAGAGACCACCAGACTTTTGTAATTACTGTTCTGAAGGCCACATGCTAAAAGTGGGTGAAGACAGTTCAAAATTGATAGGATCGCTCATATACTGCTCATCAACCAAGGTGAACATTTTTTCCCAGGCCATATGGAACATATGGCATCATTAAGAATGAGGTTTTATTTATTTTGATTTGTCAATCGCTTAATAGGTATAAGTATATACATAGTTATGAATACATGAAATGGGTACATATAAAAAAAATAAAAGAAACAACAGGACAGGGACGGTAGGCACATTGGTGCGCTTATGCACGCCCCCTACAGACCTCTTAGGAAAGGGGTGAGATCAATAGTAGACAGTCTAAGGTTAAGGTTTTTGGGGTTTGGGGAAGAAACCACAGAGTCAGGTAGAGTATTCCAGACATTGACCACTCTGTTGCTGAAGTTTCCTGCAATCAAGTTTGGTGTGGTTAACCTTGAGTTTGTATCTATTGTGTGCTCTTGTGTTGTTATGGTTGAAGCTGAAGTATTCATTGACAGGTAAGTCATTGCAATGTATGATTTTATATGCCATACTTATATCAGACCGAAGACGGCATAATTCAAGGTTTTCTAGGTCTAGAATTTCAAGTCTGGTGGCATAAGGTGTTCTACAATGAGTAGAAGAGTGGAGAACTCTTCTTGTGAAATATTTCTGGACTTTCTCAACTGTGCTAATATCAGATACGTAATGTGGGTTCCAGACTGATGAGCTGTATTCGAGTATTGGTCTAGCAAATGTTTTGTATGCTCTAGTTAGTAGTGTGATATTACCAGAGAAAAAGCTACGTAGGATTAGGTTAACAACTCTTAATGCCTTTTTGGCCATGTAGTTACAGTGGGCTCTAGCACTTAGATGATTAGAGATGAGTATTCCAAGGTCCTTTACAGAGTTTGGGTCATCAACAAGGTCTTGACTACAGCTTGTATTTTATTTTCTGATTTTTTTTGCCAATATGTAAGACAGAGCATTTATTTGTTGAGATTTGAAGTTGCCATTTGTTTGACCATTCTGATACATAGTCAAGATCTTTTTGAAGGGTAGCAGTATTGTCTGTGGTATTGAACAGCTTTACATCATCAGCGAAGAGAACGCAGTTGCTCTTAATATGATCACAGAGGTCATTTATGTAGAGTATGAAGAGAGTTGGTCCTAGAAACTGCCTTGGGGGACACCACAATTGACAGGTACAGGTTCTCACATCATGTTCTGTCTCCAGCTATCCTCTTCCCATTTCTTCCATATAAAATAGCTTTAAATTCTAGGGAAGAATGAAAAGCTACTTTGATGGACTGAACAGAGAAGGATGATGAGATAAGACATACCTTAGCTGCAGTGTGAAATTTCATCTAGAAATTATACAGGCAATTACCTTCCTACACCACTTGAAATTGTGCAAGATGAAATATTCATGCTAAGAATAGCAATCCTGATCTGAGAGCTCAATCCTATCTAAGCAAATGTTCAGTCTAAACCCACAATTTACATGATGTAGGAAATGCAACAAAAATTTCATTTAACACACTTTCATTTAGTGGACTTCATAGGTGAAGGACCAGATTTCTACCTCTAAAACAAAGGGCAAATTTGCCATATTCTAAGTTGTTTGGAGAAATCAGTTAAATTTTACCTTAATTGTATAACATCCATGTGATTTATATCATCTGCATAAGTCATTATCCAAATGATCAAAATCACTGCAATATTGCACTTTTATATTTACTAGACATTTGAGAGTAAGGTTCATTTCCTACCTGCCCCCACCCCCCAATGTGGTCCATTAAAATGAATTTTTTCTGTAAAAGTTTTAATGAATTGACCAACTTAAATAGAATAATAATTATTAACAATTTTGAAAACTATGAAATTGGGAAGAACCAAACCTACATGTAGTTCATTTGTTTGCTTGCAAAATTCTTCACAGTCCTGGTCAAAATCAGTTTTCCTCTGATCTACAAAATTGTACTGTTTTTTCTTTATAGTGGCAACAATACTCTGAATGCAATTGGAAATATGAATATTTGAAAGTTATATTATGCTCATCATTTCTTATGCTTATAATAAAGATATATAACATGAAGACTATTTTGCATTATTCCAAGGTAATGTTTTGCAACCCAATCCTTTCTGAAACACAATTCATTTTTCTAAGGAAACGAAGCATTGAAACATGCAAATTTGTACAGTATATATGTCAGGCCATCTCTTACAATATCTATGTTACACATTCTGGTGCAATGAAAAAGCTTTTTACAGAAAACATGCAGAAAAACCAGAAATCATTATCACCACTGCAAATCATAACCTTAATGGCCCTATCGTGAATTACCTCCCATTGCTGTTTCATTGCTGCAGTCTGTACAAGTAAAAGTACAATAAGCTATTTTACTACATGAATAGACAGCAATTGTGTGAAAGCTCAAAATCCCTTATAATGTCAAAAAAATTAATTTCTACAATTCTTTGGGGAAAGTTACGAAAGCTGAGTTGCCAAAAAGCCAATACTGTGGTAACGCACCCTTTGAAAATGACTTGGAATAAGTGTTTTGGAACTTACACAACAGCAGTTCCTCTAAGTCATCAATTCAAACAACAATATTTTTTTCCAGATTTTTGCATCAGTCTAAAAACAACACAGAGCCATGGTGGTGCAGTGGTTAGAGTGCAGTACTGCAGGCTACTTCTGCTGACTGCCAGTTGACTGCAATTTGGCAGTTCAAAACTCACCAGGCTCAAGGTTGACTCAGCATTCCATCCTTCCAAGATTGGTAAAATGGGGACACAGATTGGTGGGGGCAATATGCTGAATCTGTAAACCGCTTGGACGGAGCTGTAAAGCACTGTGAAGCAGTATATAAGTCTAAGTGCTATTGCTATTGCTATATTAGATAACTTTTTAAAGAGCCATGTCATTTTTTTTAATTTCTGATGAAGATGGAAAAAATGGCAGGATTTTTTCAATGAATAACGAAGAGATCCTATGTTTACATAAATCCAAAGCAATTTTTGAGTCTCATTTTTGAATAGGCATAGTCTCAGTTAATGGAACTTCATAGTGAACCAATCAAGATCTTGAAGTTTCAGCCTCATTATAGATATTATTTTTATTGGGCACCAAATTGTGATGTCTGTTTTTTATTACTATTATTACTTCTCTTTCTTTTTAGCATTAACTTTATTGAAGAAATTTTTTACAAAGTAAAAACAACAAAAATTTAGAGAGAAAGAGAATTAAAGGAAAGTGGTAAATAAAAAACAATAAAAATAAACAGAGGTGACTTTTGATCTTATTTACAGTGATCATAAATGCAGTTATGTTGTTATCCTTTCTCTCTCTAGCTCTATGGTAGCTCCCTTCTTTCCATATTCTATTCTTTCTAATTACCAAACCCATAAATCGCTCATTTCATTTTTCTCCATTTTCAGCAAAAAAAAAAGTCCTTAAAGGGTTTCCAGCACCTGGCAAATGTATTTATTGCATTTTTCTCTAATCAAACAAGACAGTGTTGCATCTCTGCAAATTCTGTTTTTCTGCATTATTTCTAATCCCTGAGACAGAATCCTTTTCTCTCCAAAACAACTGAAATTGTCTCGTATAAAGCTAAACAGTTTTAGGAGAGAATTACCATTGCCAGTTTTGCAGTCAACAATAATATGGGATATATCCCAAGAGAGGGGCTATCCAGAATTCTACATCAATAAGCTCAAATTTGCCAGCCAGGAAAATAAAAGTATGGTGGTGTCACCAGAAAGGCATAAGGAAGCAATTAGACCATTTATTTCCTGGGGGAGCTAAAGGAACAGCATGGAATCAGCGATTATGAACTAAATTGTACAGATACCAGAACTACAGTTAATAATCATGTTTATGTTGTTTCCTATAGAAAGCATAGGAATGTTTTTTCTCAAAGGTGCTTTTTCCAAAAGGCTACTGGATTCTCTTGTGTTTTTTTTTCTTTGAAAATGTTTCACTTCTCATCCAAAAACTGAAGAAGCTTCCTGGATGAGAAGCAACACGTTTTCAAAGGGGCGGGAGGAAATAAGAAAGTCCAGTTGCCTTTTGGAAAAAGCACCTTTGGGACACACATGATCTGGATGAGTCTTCACAGACATACTAATGTTTTCTATGATGTAGTTGTTAAAGCAGGGCTGTCAAACTCCCGGCCCGCAGGTCAGACCCACCCGGTTTGGCGAAGGGGGAAAAAGCCCTGATACATTACATGATGCTGCCATGATCACGTGAGTTTGACACCCCTGCGTTAAAGCATCAGGCTAGAAATCTGAGACTATCAATTCTATTCCTGCCTCAGATGCTATCTGGATGATCTTGGGCCAGTTACTCTCTCTCAGCCCTAGGAAGGAAACAATAGCAAAACCACTTCTGAAATCTTGCCAAGAAAATTCAGGGATTAGGAGTCAACACGGACTTGAAAACATACACACACACACACACACACACACACACACGAATTACTAAGTTAATTAAAAACACAAGAACTTATATTGCAGGAAGCCATTAAGAGCTGCTTATGTAGGGCTATTAAAATCTGAAACCAATTCAGTAGGCAATCTGTTTTACTTACTACCTCAGCATATTCAGTGTGAACAAGTTGCTAGTTTTTGACATCCAACACCGCCAGCTCAAATGGTGATTTTAAAGCAGAGAGTAATGAGCAGGCTAACTCTACAAACAGCTGTCACAGTGGCTGGGTTCATACCTCACATTAAATCACAGTTTGTTTTAATACAGCTTGCTGAAAAGGTCAAAGTGGCTTGCTTCACAGGTGTTAAAACATTCATCACGCTTTACAAACAGTAGCTGACTTCACATCATGCTAAATGAGAAACAAAATGTCATGGCTTGGAAGTATGTTCAAGCTCTGAAGCAATTTAGTTGAGGTAGTACATAGAATTCGGAGAATTCTTAATCCAGCATAGAAAAGAAAGAGTATTTTCTATCTACAATACTTTCCCTATGTAATCATTCAAATACTTTGCCCGTGAAACGTTATAGATTCCACTCACACCATTATTAGGGTCAATGGCTCCAAATACTATAGCACACTCCAAAATATCTGGAGGCCAAACAAAATGCATTTTTCTGGACTCAAGCAATATTGGCTAAAAAAAGAAAAACAAATACTGCATACCTGATACTTAGTTGCCATTACTTCTAATCCTTCCATCTTTGAGTCTTGTAAGACTGAGTAAGTTGTGATAGTGTCAAAGATGTGCATGATTTTAAGTAGGCGGCGATGGAAAGTTTCAAATTTTCCAAATATATACATTTCACTAAAATCAAACTGCCGTTCAGCTGGATTCTCTTCCAATTTCTGTTTGGTCTTGTGAAAACAGTCTTGGTACTCCTTAGCAATATAAACCAAGATATAAATATATGGAAGTAAATATTAACTGCAACATCATTCATAATACTCTTAAGGACTCATATAGACTCCTAAAAGTTATTTTCCCTAATGAACTTCAGATCCAATTTTGCCCTTTTTGTTTTTAGAAACTAAATCCTCCCCAATTGACTTAAGCCGGAAGGTTGTATTTACTGCTTTTGTCTTCTACCAAACTGTAAATATTACCTGCTTAAGTCTTATAGCAGCTTGTATTTTTTCCAAAACTACATCTTGCGGTTGATCCCAGATGGTGGCAGTGTTGTTATTAGTAATATAAGCTTTGCAGGCTGTTATCATTTGATTTGTAACCTGTAAGTAGAATGATAGGCTTTGTCTCAAAAAATGTGTGTGGAACAAAGAGATTTGACGTCCATTTTCTTTCACAGTCAGCAGCTGAATCAGGGGTGGGTAACTTGTAATCTTTCTCATGTTGCTAAACTACAGTACAATCCCACATATCTCACTACTGGTTATACTGGATCAGCTGCTGAGTGTCACTACTTACTTTTCATTGTAGATTTTTATTTCATTTCCGGGTTACAATTAACGTAACCCAGCTGTTTAATCAGTGCAACTAAGTTTTTATAAAATAAAAGCAATATGGATGACCTCAAGTCAATATGTTTAGCTATAATGTAATGATAAACCAATTTCATCTATACTAATAATCAGTCCAAACGATTTATCAATAATCTCCATTTCAGGGTTCAACAGATCCAATTTTTTTAATTAATTTTTTAAATCTTCTCTATATTTCAAAAAGAAAAATTCATTACTTAAGAAAGTCTTTATTTCCTAAGATGGATAAAGCATCCAGAGTTGTTGGGAGTAGGGCGGCATACAAGTTTAATAAATTATTAATGAATTGTGTGGTGTACAAATGTGATTAAGTAAATATACGTTATTATTCTCTACAGTTACAGTTTTCAATGGCCAATAGTAATGGGGTTCCAATTCTGAAGAAGAGTCAGCCCGACTTGCCTTTACAAAGAGGGAAGTTATCTTCTCTGAAGTGTTATAATAGCGTGAGATGCTGTAGATCATTTTGATAGCATTAATGAGTCCTGGAATAGCATCTACCATGATCACCTGAAATGCCAACAAGATGAATTGTGATATGAAGCATCATTTACCTAATATCATTCATATCCAGTTAACCTGAGGGCACAAGGGCTTCTGCCATCATCGCAAATAGTACTTGCAGTCCTTGCTCAGATAAAGTAATTTTTAAAGTTGCCAAGATTTGGGGCATTTATGAAATCTGTATTACCCAATATAATATAGGGTGTATTATTAAGTTATAACTCACGAAACTGAGTTACAGTTGCACGCACAACCATTAACTTGTGATCTGGACATTTCTGTGCTATCTACAAGTGTGGCCGTTCAATGAGCAGACATTTTTAAACTTACAGGATCACAGTTATACAGAGGGTCGCAGCATTTTTCAAGGGTATACAGGTATTTCACATTGTCTTTGGCTTCATTTGTTGCATCAGTGATCCGGGTATCCAGTTCTCGCCAATTCTTAGAAAATGAAAATGAAACAAATGCTATTTAAAAGGACATTTGGCATTTTACAAAAGAAATTTCCCTGGCAAATATGCTAAGATAGTTAGCATGTTTCTTAAATCTCACAAGAATTAGAAGACCAATTCAATGACAGCAATAAAATACCATAGCAGACAATGCTTGGCAGCTTCTAAAAGATGTGATCTGAAAGTTTAAGTACTGAAATCATAGATCATGCTGATTAAAAATCACAGGAGTTCTGTGAATGTTAATCATCATGATCTATGATTTCAGTGCTTAAAGTTGAAGTAGGAGTTCTACCAGGAGATTGTTTTCCTTAGCCAAAGTATCTGGCAATGTCATTTGTATTTTAGGATTTTTTTTTAGTACTTTCAAAATAATGTTATGTTTCATTATATCAAGCTGCAGCTTCCCCCTGTATATTTGGAAGAACAAAAGCAAAGCCTTTTTACAAGCATGATTTCCATTGTCCACTTTTTAAAATACATATTTTGTATTTTAATTCTCAAATGTGATATTTTTCAGAGTAAGTTGCCTTTCCGTTTATTGGGCTGCAAGATCTTAAATATATATGCTCTGGTATAAAAATATTATTTTTAGGTAGAATGTAAATTGTTCTGAATAATCCAACTGACACACCTTCAAAAGTTTTGATTTAGCAACTGTAAGCACACCAAGTACAGCCTTTACATCTGAAGTTTTGAGCTGATCCAATAAGTAGTTAAATTTGGATAGCCTCTTCTTCCAGTGGTCCAGCTCAGCTCGTGGTCCAAGGTCATCTGCTTCTTTCCGTAGCTGGTTATTTTCAGCAATAACCTAAAATTTAAACCAAAATGGTAATTTGCCTAAAATAGAATCTTTTTGCAATAGGACTTAGAAATAACACTTAGACTTATATACCACTTCACATTGCTTTTACAGCCCTCCTTAAGTGGTTTACAGAGTCAGCCTATTGCCCCCAACAATCTGGGTCCTCATCTTACCCACCTCAGAAGGATGGAAGACTGAGTCAACCTTGAGCCTGGTGAGATTTGAACTGCCAAATTGCAGGCAGCCGGGAGGCAGCAGAAGTAACCACTGCGCCATCACAACTCTAAGAATACGATACTATGTGAGTAGAGCTTTTTTTCTTTCCTTCCATCCTTACTTTCCCTCCCTCCCTCCTCCATTATGATCGTAAATCAAGAACTAAATGTACACTGTAATTGGAAAATCTGTCTTAACACACCAGTGGCATTAAAGCATCCTCGCTTAAATAATTCAAAATGTGGCAGGGAATTATCAGCAATCTGCCTGCAATGTGCTCCAATTTTGGCACTACTATACTATAAACTCTCATAGGCTCATTCACCTAAATTTAAAAACAAAGATGATTGGAGCATCAATATATACATCAATATAGGAGCCTCTGTGGCACAGGAGTTAAGAGTGCAGTACTGCAAGCTACTTCTGCAGCCAGCTGCCTACAGTTCAAATCCCACCAGGCTCAAGGTTGACTCAGCCTTCCATCCTTCCGAGGTGGGTAAAATGAGGACCCAAATTGTTAGGGGCAATATACTGACTCTGTAAACAGCTTAGAGGGCTGTAAAGCACTACAAAGCAGTATATAAGTCTAAGTGCTTTTGCTATTGCTATCAAGGAATTAGCATAATTAATAAAGCACAAGCAAAAATCACAAGGTTTTTCACCGATCTCTGAAATAAAAACTGGATTGAACACAATGGGATACAGAGTTTCTACATTAATAAGGTCCACCTAATCTGACTGCAAAATTCTGGGCCACCTCTATACGATAGCAAAGAACTCTAAAAAAAACCATAATTCTTAAACAATGATAGTTGAAAAGTGGTTTTAGATGGATGGTGATTGTGGTTGCTGGTCTTCCTACCACTTTAAAACTGGTTTGGAGACAGGAGAGTACAGTAATTGATTCATACTGGGATGGGAAAAAGCCTAATCTGTTTTATAGCCCTCGTTCCCTGTTGCAAATTGACACCATGAATGTCTTTCAGCTACAGAAGAAGAAAAAGGGATTATCACCGTTAACAACTGCTCCAGAGACACTACTGAATAAGAATATTGCATGTGAAAATAATGCATTTGGCAATCCCTTTCCTCCCCATCTTTTGTGAGAAAGATAAGCAGCTACATATTGTATATGTAGCACTCCATATGCAATGGAATATTCATCCAAACAGTACCTGTTCAATTTGCTTAATCCACACTTTCATGCAAGCTTCTATTCGTTCCACAGTCTCCATGCTGTTTGCTGCCACCAGAAAATCAGCTGGTCCTTTTAGCATTTTCAGGTCATAGGTTTCACACTTCTTCAGGAGCACCTAAATTACGTATTAGGCAATTACTCTATACATTTCAATACCTCTGCCCAAGAAATTATGATGACATAATTCACAGGTTAGCCCAAGGTATTGGTATACAAGACCAATGGTTATTGACATGTTATTCCATGCTATTTTGTTCTGTCCAGCACCTGAACAACGGCATATTGGTTACAGTTAAAAACCCTAGAATAATAGCATTGCCCTTGTGCCTTTCAAATGGGCTGTCTGCTAGACTTGGAGTTTCTTCCGTTAGAAGTTCAAAGCGTCTCCTCATCCATATTCTATTTATATTAAAAACTGATCTGCCACAAACAAAAAAGCCACTTGTCATCATTCTTTCTATTTTGTCTCTAGCCTAAATCACTTCTGCTTGCAGGTAGGATTTACACAGTTGAATGTATCCATATAAAAGTTCTTCCATGTAACAACAAAAAAGAGGCTTTAGGAAGAAGGATTTAACCTTTTTCCATATCCTGTCACACAGGGGTATTTTTTTGGGGGGGGGGGGAGGTGTTTTCGTAGAATTGTTTGCTTTGCATAGACATTTAAATCATGCAATCCCTATTGCATCTAAAATGGTTCAACTCTGCTTCCGGGAATACAGCTTAGAGATAAAACTTCTTGCATATATTTGGCACCTCTAATAATTCTTGTTGCCATAATTCATAGACAATAATTATTTTAAACCTCAGGTAGCAATAATAATTTATGTGGCTTGTCTGCTGCCTAACTCTCAACAACTCTGTATTATATTGTATACCGCCTGGAACCAGGGGTGCGATTTAACCGGTATAACAATCAGCTCGGTGAACACATGCAAAGCGCACAGAACATTTGCTAATGACCTTATCCAGTAATCCCTGTCTGTTAAACAGCTGGTCCACGGCAATTTGCTGTGCCGTGCAAAGCAGCTGAGCTTAAAAAACAAGACATAAAGCACAGCCTAGAGCTCAGGAGGGCAAGTGGGCCAAACAGCTGATCGTCAGAGCAAACCGAACCAGTTCACTCTCAGCTGATCCTCGGAGATACCAGTTTGCCCAAACCAGGCCTAACCAGTAGAATCCCACTCCTGCCTGGAATTCTTTTCTGATGGAGCTGGGTGGTTAAAAAATATTATATATAAATAAATAAATATATAAATTAACAGAATAGCCTTTGAAACGTAGTCTTGATCATTCCCTGTTACCCAAATACATTCATCAAATTATCCTTAAATTAATCTTAAAATTGACTGAGAATAATTGAGGGTTGAGTGTGTAAAATATCTCATTGATATATTCATTTGTTCCCAAATACATATATATGTGAATATTCTTATTGATGTCATCAGCTTTACTTTTTCTCCATTTCTCTACTCCTGAGGTCGTGACTGGAAATTGCAAGTTCCTGTTGGCTTCCCCATTGAATTTGCTTGTTGGAAGCCAGGAAGAAATCCCAAGTCTCAGTCACATGAGGTCCTCACTTAATGACCCGCAATCCTCACTTAACAACAGCAACTAGGACTACTGGGGTTTCAGCTGCCAAGTGATGTGATCTTGTGCCATTCTATTTTACAACTATTTTGTTTAGCAATGGAAATTCCAGCCCCAGTTACCATTGTTAAGCAAGAAGAACTTGTATTTTGAAGGGAGCCCAATTAATCCAATGAAATTTCCCCCAGGTATCTATTTATACAATTGCTTCTTTAATCCATTTTATGTTACAGTTCAGCTAGTTATACATATATACATAGAGAGATTTAGATATATAAAAGCCATTATATGATTATCCCTGTTACAGTTGCCGTACCTTCCTTTCCCCCCCCCAAGTAAGATAAAGAACAATACAGAATTCCTGCACTTCAAAGATGTATAGAGAAAAAAACATCAACATCATAATATTTATAAAATTGCTAAATGCTAAATGCTATTATGATAAACATCATCATATTTATAAAATTGCTAAATGCTCTTCTAAATTAATAGGTCACTTTTGTGCACATTCTTCTACATATTTAGTATTTTATCAATGGTAGATTTAGTACTGATAGGTACTTTTGCATTGTTCTTTAACTCCTTTGCTTCCTGGCAGAGACAGCTAAAAGATAAATAAATGCAAGCTTACCTTCTCCATCAGGCTCTGTTGAGCTCCTGAAAGGACACTAACAAATCCCTCTAGGGATGCAATGAAGTCCTGCTTGATATTAGCCCCTTTCTGGGAACTGCTCATCTCTCCCCAACCATAGTTCATAGTATTCAAAGCTGGGATGAAGATATCGGATAGCAAATGCTGAACACTGTTTAGCAAACCACCATTTGCTGTGTCCATCATATTGAAAACTACTTCCTGATGATGGAAAAGGAAAAAGCATTAAGAGTTGTTAGCTCAGCTTTCTCCACCTTGGTGTGCTTTCCAGGTCTTTTGATATCACAGTTCTTATTTCAAGGCAGTATGGTCAATGTTCAATGATCATTTCATATATAGATATAGAGAGATAGAGATAGATGCATGCAGAGAGAGAGAGAGAGAGAGAGAGAGAGATATGAGAGAGACAGACTTAAAAGCTGACTTAGATATAATTCTTTGCTAAATCCAATTTATATGATTGACAAGACAATGGATGCTACAATTTCTTATAAGCAAGTGACTGAAGATACATATAGAAAATACTTACACGATGGATATTCTCTGCATTAATTGCTTTAGAAGGGTTAGTTCTAATGAAAAACACACATATACCAGTTAAAGCGACATCATCTCCCTCTGTTACAAATAATTTGGTCTTTTTGCCTTTAGCAGAAGCAGAGTTAGTTCCAGTTGAACTTTCATGTCCTATAAGGGGGAGAAAATTTTATGTAGTTTTTGTAGACACGAACAAAACATTTATACAGGAATTTGTACTATGTCTGAATCCTATTGTATTTCCTGTATTGTTAATATCATATCATCTAATTCTCTCTATTTATCATACCAGTTGGGAAGTGGTGGTTATTTTACATTGGGTTGGGTTCCAAAATAACTCCTATTTCTCTGCAGAATCTTCTTGTAATCTGAATATTAATTTGGAATTATCTACCTCACCTTTTTTTAATGGAGATATTGAGGCAGTGCACATTGCAGAAAAGTACATTTTGTCATCTGTTCAAAATATTGGATTTTCTTTTGGATTTTTTTCCCATTTAAATTGCTAGTTCTATCATCATGAGTAGGTGAAATCTGTATGCATCGCCTTCAACAATTTTTCAAATAAAATTTGGTTTTGTTTATATCCCATAATAATAGTTTATATCTTCCAAACAGACGACGAAAAGGTTGAATTATCAAGGCATAAAACTGGGAGATTCTGGAAGAGGAGGTTTTGAGGTCTCCAGCTTTCCACATTAAGTTTGCAGTCCTTTGAGGTAGCCAGATCAGGAAACAGGCTCCACAAGAAATTCTGAAATTTTATTGTATTATTGCAAGGTACAATAATAGAATCTTAAAAGCCTGGCAAAGATTTTCTCTCTCCATCCTTCTCCCCTTTATATCAAAGAAATCAAGGTAGAGCAGTTTTTCTTCTTTACTCCTTCTTTTCCTTCAGGGTTAAGACGGTGTCTGTCTTATGTTTTGTTGGTTCTTTTATTGTATGTTTTACCTTTCAGTTTTATCATATTTTTTCTTTTTCTAAACTGCTGCCTTGCATGATCCAGCAGTCTATGAATACAATAAGTCATCATCTTCACAATCTGAGAAAATAGTACTGCAAGCATCTCTTTGCATACCTATTTCTGGTCCCTCCATGTCTTGATAATAAAACATGACATGACGAAAACCTCCAGCAGTGAAGAATTGATCAATACGCTCAATCTGTTAAACAGAAAGTCAAAGATTTATACATAGAATTTTAAAAGGAATACATACAACAGAGTGCTTAAATAAGACCATTTACTGATAATTTTATATAACGAGTAAAATACACTCTTCAAATTCAACATATATTCTCAGCAGATACTTAATTGTGTCTGTTACTGTTTCATGGGATCCAAAATTCAAAATACCAGCTTCTACTATTATATTTTAACTGGTTAGCTTTATTTTCCTGAAATATGATTAGTTCAAATATTAAGCCATACTCAGGAGGGGGTTCAAGGGGAATTGGACCTATTCTATAATCCTGATTTTAAGCATGCTATAAATGTTATAATAATCTCATTTATTGATTATTGATAAGCCATGATGGTGCAGTGGTTAGAATGCAGTATTGCAGGCTGGAGTTTGGAGTTTAAGCCTGATGGGTTTAAGGATGACTCAACCTTTCATTTTTCTGAGGTCAATCAAACGAGGACTCAGGTTGTTGGGAGATGACATTGTAAACCACCCAGAAAGTATTATAAAACACTACAGGGCAATTGCTATTTATTTGTAATTTAGCAGTCCAGATTTGTTTCAGTTTTTCTGAAGAATAAACAAGTTATCATTTTTTAGAAATATTGCAGAGATTGCTCTAGAAAAGCAATAATAGCCTTCATCACACATTTCCCATGAAGAGAATACTGCTTTCCTCTTGGATAAAGCCATTTGCCTTCTGTGATGCGATCTGAATATTGGTTTGGAACTGTGGTCCATTCAGAAACAAGGTACTATTCAGAACCATCCACAACTGTACTGTGTGCCATAGCGCTACAGTTCTTCTAGATAACGATAAATGTCAAATCAATGCCAGATTAAGGCCAACCTATGTCTCAACAAAAACAAAAACAAAAACGCCTTTCAGCCCTTCCATTGTTTAAATAGGTAAGACGTTAAGACTCAACAAATGTTGCTAATTAAAGTTCAGCACGGCAGTGAAAGAGTTAAGGGCATGAGAGGAAGCGAAAAAAACCCTCTTGTGGGGTCCCTCTTCGCTTAACACTCTTCTTTTGCTTGATGGTTAATCCAGAGCTACAAAACAGCTATAAAGAAACCAAACTATACCAGGGAAGTGCTTTGGAAAAAAAAAAAAGAGCATTTATATGGGGAATTTTCATGAAGACTATATTTGCTTCCAAAAATTGCCTTTCAAAAATACTGTAAAATTCTGCTTCCATTTTCTATGCACAGCAGCAATCTACAAAGCACAAGAATTATTTTTGTACTCAGTTGGAGTCTGACAATTGAATCTACCCCCATCATACCTGATTTCCTTCAAGGACAGCATCTTCCACTTCATTTTTCTCTAGGTTCACACAAGCAGAAACAATTGACAGGATGTAGTCATATCTACCATCCAGATGAGCTCGCTTAGCTTCTTTCTCCTCTTTCAGTTTTTGCTGTAGAACCAACATTTCTATTATAGCTGTATATATTATATACTGTATATATTATAACTGAACTTGTTTCTTCTATATGTTCTAAGTTAAATATACATTTCATCATATACGAATTCGCCATTAAGTATCTCAATGTAGAAATATTTTGAGAGCAAAACATGTGCTGATCCCTCTTTGTGGGATAAGAAAGATGAGGCCACATGAGGAAAACTGACTGTTCACAAGAGGCAGTTGCAATGTTATGTATCATAGCACAGGGGGGGAAATCTCTTTAAATGACTGCTTAATATGGGATTTTAATCTGCAGGTCACTACTTTGTGATTCAACATGTTGCATGAACCCAGTTTGTATGGTTGGATTTTGGAAAATAAAAGTGATGCAAAACCCAAGCCGTTGAGTTAATTCAGTAAGATGTGATTAGGTATATCTGCATATAGTACAAATGCAATAAATCAGTAAGACCTATTTCCATATACAAGATTGGGTCAAAAAACACTGAAGGGAATTGTGTTGGGGAGAACGAGGGTAGTAAATTCTGTTAAGACTAGTAATTTTCAAGCTTCATGAACTCAACTATATGACTACAGGTAGTTCTCAATTTATGTCCACAACTGAGCTCAACATTTCTATTGTTAAGTGAGAATTTGTTAAGCGAGTTTTGCCCCTTTTTACAACATTTCTTGCCACAGTTGTTAAGTGAATCATTGCAGTTGATAAGTCAGTAACCCAGTTGTTAAGTGAATCTAACTTCCCCATTGACTTTGCTTGTCAGAAGGTCGCAAAAGGTGATCACATAACCCGGGATGCTGCAACGGTCATAAGTATGAACCAGTTGACAAGCATCTGAATTTTGATCACGTGAGCAAGGGGATGCAGCAAAGGTTGGTCTGTGAAAAATGGTCATAAGTCACTTTTTTCAGTTCCGTTGTAACTTTAAACGGTCACTAAATGAACTGTTGTAAGTCGAGGACTCTTCTATTATGTATGTTTCAAATTAAGCTTTCTTATCTTCTAAAAGTTTGATTATAGGTATATGCATAATTACTACTGAACAGTATTGTACGTGATACAATTGTAGCTTTCTTTAAGCAAAGCTAATTATCAGGTCTTTTGAAATCTCCTTAAAACGTACTTTAAAATTACTTTTAAATAAATTTTTAAATCAATCCCATTCAAAGCACTGACAGATCAGTTTTATAAATTAGTCACTAATAAAATGAAAACACTTGCTATTCTTCCCATAGTTTGAACTATAGACCAAAAACAAATACGACTGAATCTTAAATTGAAGTAGGCTGTTTTGGATCAAGGTGACTCTTCTCTCAAAATCTATCAGGTTAGATTAGTGTGATGTAATTAAACTACATCTAACCATTTGATGACCATAGTATTATTGTATTCACACAGGTGGGATTCAACACTTTTTACTACCGGTTCTGTCGGGGCGTGGCTTGTTGGGCGTGGCAGGGGAAGGATACTGTAAAATCTCGTCAGAGGTGGTATTTGCTGGTTCTACGAACTACTCAAAATTTCCGCTACCAGTTCTCCAGAACTGGTCAGAACCTGCTGAATACCACCTCTGAAACAGCCCTATTTTGTCCAGTAGATCTTGTGGGTTGAATAAATAACGATTAAATTAACCAAGGATAAATTTGTTGTGTGAAGATTAGCCTCTCAGTATCTGACAGTTTAATAATTTGCGATTAGTGATGCTTATATTACTGATTGTTTTAAATACAGAGGTTAACACAGTTAAAACAGCAAATATCTTTTTCAAGAATACTTTATAGATGATAGTTCGTATGTGCATATGATATCCTTTGGGTGATGAAGGACAGACAATTTAAGACCCCAAAACAGGATAAGGAATCTCCAGTGTTAAAAAGAAGGGTGACCTCATAAGCGTAGCTATTCTACAACCCAACCTTCTCAAAAGAACTTCATTTCCAAAAGATATCACACCATGGGGTTGAAAACAAAGCCAATTATTTGATAAAGCAGCCTGAAAGATGGAAAAGATCTCATTTCACTCTGGCAGCAAATTGCCTGCAACAGCAGTTCAACAAAAGCAGCAGTCAAAGCTGCTAAGCAACCAGTTTCTAAAGCTGCTGCAAACAAACATTACTGAAGGGGTGTTCCAGTTCCTGGTTTCAAGCTATCCCTGTGGCCAGAAATTAGCTCTGTTCACTCATTCAAAATATCATGGTGTTTTTAAAAGTGGGTCTATCTTAAAGAATAAGAGGTCACAACAATACTGCAATATTATAAGGGGCTATCAAGGAAAAGAAGGTAAACAGTTGTCCCTTATTCTCCAAAGGAAAGGCTATTAGATCTAATTAGCTTAGATTTCAAGAGGATATCAATTCGTTACACATTAGAAGCTTCTGAAGAAAAGTAAACAAGCAGAAGTATGAATATAATCTCTCTCCACTGTCATTTGCCCCAGTAACTTGACCCAGAAGCACATTCTCTTTATATCTAGGTATCCTAGCTAATAAAAGTTCAAACATCAATTCCAATATATCTATCTAATTCTTTAACCGTATAAAGTCCAACAAAGGGATGAAATCCACCTCTAAAGTTCCCTGAGACTAAACAGCACACCCTTCATAAAATCATGAGTCCAAACATAAGATATACTCAAGATTCCCAATATTTACAGATTGGTTCGTTGTCTATATTAGCAATCAGGATATGACTTCATATCAAAATATCACATCAAGAAATACATACTGTATAAAGGCTAGGTTTATCATTAAAATGCATATATTATTAGTCCTAAATGGAGGACTGGCTCATATAAAAGTAACTCTCATTGTGTAATCATAATTTCTGCTATGTTTTACCAAATGGAAACATGGGAATTTAAAAAGATAAAAAATAACCTTATATATGATTACATCCCTGTGGAGGGACCTCAAAATCATCCTTTTCTCCAAATTTTACAAACCAATTTTGTTATGTGCTACTATTAATACACACATTCCATTTATATTACACTGCAAGGATATATCACAGTATGTGTGTGTGTGTGTGTATTCTTGCTCCTTCCCACATCTCCATACCTCCATATCTCTTACCTTTAAAACTCTTGTAACACTTTGCTTCCAAAGCTGTCGCCTTCCAGTTCTGAACATTTTATTAGTTGAAATTTACTATTGTGCTGTTAATATTAAGCCAATAGGATCAGCATGTACCAAATATGCTATGCTGACTACAAAACTTCCCAATTTAAGGATTGTTTAAAAAGTTCTCACATTTTTTAACAGTACTCTAATTAAGATCAATCCGAACAGAGTCAGACCTGCCCAAAGCTCACCCAGCCTTTCCAAGTCTCAGAAATATGAGCAGTGTTGACAAACCTACATAGCTTGGGTGTTGTTATGGTAAGTGTTGACTTATAGAGCTATTGTGTTAAATTTGCCACTCAATCTTGGCAGAAGTCAGTACTTTCAAATTCAGTATCTTTCAAAAGCAAGTTTTGGTTGATTGCAGATGACATTGTAGATGAATAAAAAAACTAGATATGTGTGTGGAAATAGAGTTATTCAAGAAGAAGAATGGTTGGGAAATGAAATTATTATGCATGTTATCAGAAGGTGCAGTTTGACAATATAAAGCTCCCTTTTGTATGAATGAAATCATACTGTAAATTGTTTAGGTGGGTATGAATGTTTTACCAGCTAAGTGAAGTCTCCATGTTGAAATAATATATTGCTCTGAACACCAGTTGTTGGGTCCAAACATAGAAGGCTACTGCTTTCATGTCCTCCTGTTTCTTTACTTTTAAAGACCAAGATAAAACCTAGACCAATTACTATCTGATGCAATTTTTACAAAGTCTTTGTTATTAATGATACCAGTAGGTATGCTGTCCTGAAAGTATTTGCAACTTTAGAACAGCTTTTCTTATGGTGATTTCTAAGTGTGTTGGATCATCTTCCAACATTTCCAAGACAGCAAGGTTTTTGTAAGGTACTTCATTAATGAATAACTACTATCCCAATATTCATGTAGTTCTCCTGTCACAGTTATCCCTGTCTTGCTTTGTCGCTATGTAGTCTCTATTTCTCACTGTCCTCTCAACTTCTCAAATTGTCTTTTGTCCAAGTTCCAGCCAACCTCTTTCAAGCATTTATTTTGCCATAAACCACAAGTCCTCTTCATTTTAACTACTACAGTTTATTCTGAATCTGTCTCTAATTTTTCCCATGTTCGGTTCTTGTGATTGATCTTAAATATTAAATTTCAGTGAAACCAACCATTTTGTTTACCAGAGAACACAATTGGAAATATCAATGACTTCATTTCCAAGCAGCATAAATGCTCAAACATCTCATGCCATCCTACTACTCAGTGCCAACTGCAATAGCTGTTTGTATAAAAACACTTCTAGGATCAAGACAGTAATTCTGTAACATAGAAAGGGAAATTATGTCAGGTGTAAAATTAAACGGGTTCATGCTATGCAGGACTATTGCAACAGAATGAATAAGTTCAGAGCAGTTAAAAACAGATACTGTTCTAAAGACAGGATACCATCTCCAAGGCTCAGAATAAGTTGCTTGAAAAGGAACCTGTTTCTTTTTCAATGCAGTTCCTTTTTAAAAGTTTGATGTTGGTGCCCTCAAGTGGAAAATATAAAATATGCTGTACTAAATTTCATTTTTAAAAACACCATTTTTCAAGCAAGGATATGGAAATACATTGAAGTGTTGAATATTTAAAACCACTAGTTCAACTCCTCCAATAAAAGATCAATACACTTGTTTTAGTATTAATTTTAAAAGCTACTCGTTTTTTGACCCAAAAGCCCTCCAACACAACACATATGACCTACTGTCACTAACACTGTAGGTGTCCTTGGAGTTGTTTTCAGGGTCCCTTTCTTAGGGTGACCACATTTGAAGCTCCACTGGCAACCATTATATGAGTCTGTGATGACTAAAAAGTGGGCACTGAGCACTTATGGGGCTTGTTAGCATTTGGTAATGTTCTAAGACAGCAATCACCAACTGGTGGGCCACGGCCCACTGGTGGGCCATGAGAAAATTTTGGTGGGCCGCAGAGAAATCTCACCCCCAGAGCACCCCCACAAAGCAATTAATCCAGGCTGCGCAGAAACACAAGGCTGAGCCGCCCACATGGCCTGCGGGAACCCTCCCCGCCCACACATTCCTTACCCAGTAAACTTGCCTGCTAAATTGCTATTTTTCCTTTTTCCAACCATCATCTGTTCTGCTGTGCTGGGAGATTTAGATTAGCTAGGAAGCAGGAAATGGTTGGATTTCTTGCTTTCTAGCTAGTCTTTAGATCTTCGGCTCAGCACAGCTGAACCTCCCTTAGGACTGAAGGTTTGCTTGCAAGCAAATTTAGTGCAGACTCACGGCAAGCAAATTTGAGAGACTGAGCTAGCCGATGGCAGACAGATAGATCACTGAATGATTCTGTGAGCAACTCAATCTGCCTGCTTTGCCTGATTTTGGGTAAAAGTTGCTCTTTTTTATAAAAAAATCAATATTTGCATGCATGGTATGTTTGAGTTAATTTTGTGAGTTTGCTTGCAAGCAAATTTTATGTGACAGACTGAGCTAGCCAATGGCAGATAGATTTCTGAATGAATCTATGATTCTGTGAGCAACTCAATCTGCCTGCTTTGCCTGATTTTGGGTAAAAGTTGCTCTTTTT